AAATACAACATGAGATAGGTAAAATGTATATTATAAGAAACGGTTTTCCAAATATATAGTCTGGCCTTTTGTATACCCTTGCAGGAGGTATTATAATTTTGGTCAAAAGTGTGCACCGCACTGAAGGAGACATCTCCGACCCTATAAATTATATATATTCTTGATCGGGATCACCTCCTGAGTTGATATAAGCATGTCCGTCTGTCTGTCCGTCTGTCCGTCTGTCTGTTTCTTCGCAAACTAGTCTCTCAGCTTTAAAGATATCGAATTGAAGCTTTGCACACACCCTTCTTTCCTTTGCACGCAGTATATAAGTCGGAACGGCAGGAATCGGCCTACTATATCCTATAGGTGCTATATAACTGATTGATCGGAAATGCCATAACTTTGGTTTTTGTTAAGTTAGGAAGTTGGGAATTTCAATGGGTTTTATTTTTGGTCAATCAATCCAACCTACCAAATTTCAAAAGGATCGGCCGCCTATATAACTGAACGATTGGAAATGCCATAATTTTGGTGTTTTTAAAGTTAGGAAGTTGGGATTTTATATGAGTATTAAGAATGCATCATATGAATAATTTTGGAGAATATAATTTACAGAGTAATTGCAAGGGTAAAAAGGGTAGAAGTTAGCTTTCTTTCTTGTTTTTTTTCTTAACAATTCCAAAAACGAATCAGTGTTATTGAAGAGTTAGGTTTGAACTAAATTATTTAGAATTCGATCAAAAGGATATAGGCTTCCGATCGGGTGTTGGTTATGGTTATAACATAACGAATATTGCCATAGTTTTAAAAACCAATTATCAGAATGAAAAGTTGAGCGTTTTTACATTTATTTAGCGAACATTTTAAGTTTTTGGATCAAATAATTGATTAAAGCTTTATTTCTAAATACAAATTAATAGAGTTATTCTTTAATTAAAAGGTTGGTTAAATTCCAATACTTTATTTAAATGTAATTGTTTTCTTAAGACTCCTTTATTAGGCAGCTTAAAAAAAGGTTTGATTTATATTGGCTGTTTGAACAATTTTTTTTGAAGGCAATTAAGTTTAATTTTATTTGCGTTTTCTGATTTCACCTAAATTAAGGCTATCGCTAAACTGCGGTTTTTTTATTCATCGTGAGTCTGAATGCCACACACATTTATATGTACAACAGGAAGTTGATTATTAAGTGCGTTCGCGAGTTTCTTCTCGTAATGCCTTTTGCTGCAGTTCCATGCTCCTGCGGCATCCTTGCAGGTCCTTGTTGCTGCTTCTGCCTGTCTCTCTTCCGCACGTTTGAGTGCTGCTGTCGGCCAATTTCTTTATTGCGCTTTTATTTATCTGTCGGTCCCAGTTTCAACATCGTTTACCTTTTCAATTTATCGGCTTCATATGAGGATTCGCTGTCCCATATTGGGTATGCGTTTTTCTGCCTTTAAGCGTCGGACACAATAGCCAGATACAATATTTAGCCGTAAATGTAAATATGCAACGTGCCGAATGGTAAAAGGTTATAAATGTTATTAAAAAAGGCCAACGAATATCAGATGAATTGCGAGCGCAGTGCAGCTTCATCTAGTATAAAAATGGAGATGAATTTTCGATGTCGGCGTCGGAAGTCGAGGTTTCAGGTTTATCGGTCAGGTTTCAGGACTTCCATACATTGATTAAATTGGAATTCTTGGATACCCGTTCAAGAATAGAACAGCTTGAAAAAAATGTGTCGCTTATTACCCGGTAGTTAAATGATGTTTTCCTGACGTTTGGTAATCACGAACATATAAGTGAACCCATACGGAGATACCACAAAGTGTCTGACGAGTTGGTCACCCAAAGATAGTGTCCGAGGTATTCTTATTTGATCCAAAAAATAGTTCTTCTGGTGGTAGCTAATTTACATTGTGCTTACCAATAAGATTACCCTTTTCTGATCTTAGCACTTAAAAAGCAACATTAAACATTATATTAAGCCCCATTAGCAAAAATAGTTGTGTTTAAATACTGCGAGAGAATGTAACAAGAAATGAAGCAAACTTCGGCAAGCCGAAGTTTATATACCCTTGCAGTTGTTACAAATCTACTACATTTCGATTTCTATGCCTCGCTTTAATTTCCACATCGTATCCTCTTACTCTTCCAGACTCCAACAGCAGCAGTTGCTGCGCCGCCGTGTGGCGCTCATGTCCCGGACAGCAGCTCATCAGTCGGAGATAAATGCCGCGGAGGGTGGAGAAGCACCTGGTCCCAGCGGCGGAGCTTTGGCAGGAGCAGGAGCAGCAGCAGCAAACCAAAGCAAACAAAAACGACAAAATAAAATACCATCAACACTGCAATCAACTAAATACTTAGCTTGAAAGTGTAAAATAAATTGAAATAAAACAAGAAAGGAAAGCTAACAAAAATCCCAACTTCCTAACTTTACAAACACAAAAGTTATGGCATTTCCGATCAATCAGTTATATAGCGGCTATAGGATATAGTCGGCCGATCCCGCGTAGAAACAGACAGACGGACAGACGGACATGCTTATATCAACTCAGGACGCGATCCTGATCAAGTATATTTATACTTTATAGGGTCGGAAATGTCTCCTTCATTGCGTTGCAAACTTTTGACTGAAATTATAATTCCCTCTGCAATGGTATAAAAATGACAATGGTATAAAATCGCTCTATGCGATTTATTTGCAGAGCACAACTTATCGATTTATGTATGTACATATGTATGTATAACGAGGACGGAAGCTAACTTCGGCAAGACGAAGTTTTAATACCCTTGCAGACTTTGCTGAAATTGGTAAAACCAAAGACCAATATAAGTTTATATTGGTCTTTGGTAAAACTGAAAAAGTAGCGAAAGGAATAAGGTGTACATATTGTTTCTATGGAAGCTATAGGATATAGACGTCCGATCGCCACGCGCTTTTTCCCTAATCAATGTATGCAGAAAAAAATTAGATTTGGAAAGATTTATGTCAATAGCTTTTACACTGCGCGAAATATCTTCCATTCTTGCAAGTTATATCCGATTGTTCCTATGGGAGCTATAGGATATAGACATCCGATCGGGGCGGTTTTCAAACTTGATCTGCTTACACTTGTTTTAGGACGACTTAGAAAGTTTTAGATCGCTAGCTTTTAAACTGAGCTCGCAAACGGTATTGAAACAGACGGACATGACTATATCGACTCCCCTATTGATCCTGATCAAGAATATATATACTTTTATGGGGTCGGAAAAGTCTCCTTCACTGCGTTACAAACTTCTGACCAAAATTATAATAACCTCTGCAAGGGTATAAAAACAGTGATTCTGTCAGCAGAGCTCAAATGATTTGCCAATTAAAACCACTGACTTTTATTTTTGAATAATGTTTGTAATTAAAATGTAACGTTATCTACAGAAGATATAAAAAAAGTGGATTCAATTTGTAAAATGAATAGTCTAAACTAATGTAGACATTTATTATGATGCCTTTATGATTTTGATTCTAGGCAAGCATTTTGTTTAAATCTCTCTATTGCAGCAAATGAAAATATACATATTAAATGGCTAGAAAGCTGCGTCGAAAATCGATGTCGCAAGAGTTGCGATACCGTCCAATCTTTCTGTTGCTCATTTGCCGGAAACGGCGCATGGCCTCGTGGATTTCCGGGACACCGATGGGTTTGACGACTTCCATACCCCGCCCCTGGGTGACCTCGGGACAGACGTGCATCATTGCCGGACTGCCGCCAGCGGAGGTCACCCGGCTGTAGGGCTCGGTCACACGGTTGCTCGAGTTTAGACGCGTTAGAATCGAATAGTCAACAATGGCGGCTATGGTCTCATGGGCCAAATAGGCCAATATATTCATCGTCGGCGTGGGGATGCGCAGGTCGGCGGGCAGGTCGAGAAAGCGCCGGAACTTGTTCTTGATCTTCTCTCCGTGCCGACAGTAGAACGATGTCTTGCGCGCCTCGTTAAACTCCAGGTACTGCTGGCCGGTAAGGATCTGCGAGATGCGATCGGCGCGAAACAGCCTACGCATGCGATCCTCATCATGCAGCTCGTGCACATCGATGGCCAGCTCCTCGTCCTCTTCCTGCTGCTCTAGGTCATCCATAAAGTCCTGTGGCCTTCCCGTGCGGATGCTGAGGAAACGCTTGAGAATCCGCATATCCTTAAGGTGCTTCCGCATGCGCGCAATTTTCACGGGATGGTTGCGCATCAGAAACTCAAAGTCCGCCTGCGAGGGACAAGGATTCTGCTTGCGGCGCATGGCCACCAAGGAGGCCTCATTGAAGATGCCGCGCAGTTGTTGCTGCAGAATCTGCTCCACCAGCTTAACGCTTGCCGTTCTCGGCTGATCGCTATCGCCAAAGCTCCGCATGATGTCGGCAATCTCCGTGAGAAGTGAGACGGGCGCATCGTCGGGAATCTGGACGTTGGAAACGTTGCTCCCACTGGCGCCGCCTGCTGCATTTTGTCCAGCTATGGTCACCTGCTGTGGAGAGGGATTCGGCGGAATGCTGCCGCTCTGCAGCAGGATAACCTGGCGCTGCACAAGAAGTGGCTTGATGTCCTCCGTGGTCTGCAGCTGCGGAGTGCTGGGCGCCGAGGGCGGGGCAGGTCCTACCATTATCGGCGATGAAGCCAGGTCGTTGGACCCTATGCAAACTGAGTTTTGGCGCATCACACGCTTGGCGTTGTAGTTCATTTTATTTACAAACAAAGTCACCACTTCAATCGCGTCAGCTGATTATGAGAGAGTATAGAAAACCGGGCGTGTCAGAGATGGCCTATCGTCAGACTAACCGATGGCAATGGAAACGACAGTCCGTTGTTTGAAACCCGAATTATTATTTTCGGGCCTTGATAATTGGTACATATTTTTATTGATATTTTTATCAACAAAACCCGTTTGGACTAATTGTTTTTTAACAATTAATTATATCGATTTAATAATTATCATTACTATTGATGAGCGACATCTTCGCCCTATCGTTCCGGCGGAACTATCAGTTCCGCTGTGTTTGACTCGGAACCAGTCAGCTCCGCTCTAGTCTACGCACCACCATTTTTGTTTGCACGGATGATAACTAGTAAAGAAAAAGACAACAAATCGGATTAAACAACCGCCTCAAGATGTTCAATGGCATGGTGAGAACCATCCGCGACAGTGTCGTGGGCACCTACCCGTCCTGTCACGTGACCTCGCGGCTGGAAGAGCGCAGGGCCAAGCAGCGGGCGATGCGCCAGGAGCGCAGGCGGAAACCGGACAAGCCGGACGACTTCGTCACCTACGAGGACTCGGGCAGCGACGAGGAGACGCCCCAGCAGCAGGAGGAGGTCCTGAACACGTCCTACAACCTATGCGACTACCTCCGCAGCCGGGAGAGCGGCCTGCGAGATGTGGGTATTGTGTCTGGAATTACAGTAATTGCATTGCTAATGTGAACTTTGTCCCATATTTTCCTGCAGCGGCGAAGCGTCAATGTGGAGTACACCAGCCGCTATGTACTCACCCACGACATGCTGCGCGAAACTCAGATCAGCCTGGGCTACATCAACAAGGTCTTCTGCTCCAAGTGGCTGAGCAGCCGGCAAGTGGTATTCGGAACCAAGTGCAATAAGCTGCTCGTCTACGACGTAAACATGAGGCGGGTGGACGCAATCCCTACGCTTTCCAACAGCCGGGCGAACCACCCAGAGGTACAGGGTGGGCTACATGCCATCGAGCTGTCGCCCAGCCGTTCCTTCCTGGCCACCGGCGCGCGAAACTCCTCCGACATCGCCGTGTACCGCCTGCCCACGCTGGACCCCGTATGCGTGGGCGAGGGTGGGCACCGCGACCTTATCATGGGAATGTGTTGGCTGGATGACCAGTTTCTTGTGTCCGGGTCAAAAGACTCGCGTATGGCTCTGTGGCGCATCAACGAGGACCACATGGAGTTCCCGGACGGCGGCGAGGAGGCCTGTCCCACCTTTGCCACAATCCATCCTCTTAGTGTTAAGGAAGTTCGCACTGCCCAGAGGGTGAGTTGAGAGCTGCACATCATTGGAGTAATTTCACATTCTGCTCTTCCCCAGATCCGCTCTCTTTGCTTCAACAAGGAGTTTAAGGAGATCGCCGCCCTCTCCCTAAACGGCTACATTCACATCTTCAACGCGGAGACTTTCAAGCAGACGCTCTCCCGCAAGCTGCCAAACTGCCAGGACAACGTAAGCATCGCCTACCACAGCGATGGCCTGTATGCAGTGGGATGTCGTTCGTACACCATCCTGCTGGACGCTCGAACGTTGCAGACCATCAAAAAGATTACATCCCGCTACAGTGGTTGCGGCATCAGGGCCACCTCCTTTGAAGGCAACCTGCTGACAGTGGGCACTGGGCTGGGAATGCTTCTGTTCTATGACATCCGCGCAGGAAAATATCTGGAGAGCAGTGTGAATGCCTCGCGCACCGTTGCCCTCAAGTGCAGCAAGGGAATTGTGGTAAGTGGATGTGATACGGTTATGCACTCTTAGTAGTCGGAAGACAAAGTAGTATTTCAGTTTTTTTATTATAAACTGGTGCAGTAAATCATATAGAAACAAATGGGCAAACAGCTGGACAATAGCCATTAATGTTCGTCTTTCTTATGAATCGCAGTACCCAGAGGACGAGATGGATGGTTTCCAGCAGGTTAAGTATGTGCCCGCAATCTACACTCACTGCTACGATAGCACTAGGATGCGCCTTTTTGCAGCGGGTGGACCGTTGCCGGCCACCCTGGTTGGAAACTATGCAGGAGTTTGGCAATAGATCAGCATGGGATGCGATCCAGGTTCACATTACTGATTAGTCTTTAAGTAGTTATTCGACTTGTGATCTTCAATTTTTTGTCGCATGTATTCAACCAAGTCCCAAATTTTAAATTTAATTTGATTTACTCAGTTTTGGTTTTAATATATTGTATGTTAGGTTTATGTTAATTATATTTTATATTGTGTGTGAACAATATACACCGTTCATAAGTGTAAATGTATGCATAATTACCGATCCTATTTATATATAGTACATACAATACAAGTAATGGAATACTAATTTATAGACAATGCATCTGATTTATAGTCTGATCTATATCGTAATAGAATTTCAAATTAAAGAAACTATTTAAAAAATAATGATTTTTCTTGAACCGAGAAGGACTTCAATCTGCAATGTGTGTATTGCTCAGAGAGTGCTGTAAAGGGCACTCAATACAACAGATATGAACATATATCAAGTGTACAAAGTACGGTGTGCCAAATAGCAACGGGCAATTTTAAAATACATCAATACAAAAGAAAGTGTACAAGATTTACAGAATGTATGCTATGCAAGTGATAAAAGACTGGCGACTATTCACATGCAACTATACCAAAAAAGATTATGATGATAGCTAGTTGTTGTTATTGGGGCCGCCTCCTCCACTCCACGCGGAAAGGAATCCCGTCCAGCTGCGACTGCTGCCATCTGAAGACACTGAAAGAAAAAAATGCGAGTATAAGAAAGGGGATCCATAAAATTATTTGTAAGCTAATAGCTACCCTTCTGTCCTTTGGCTACAGAGTTGAGCATCTCCATCTCGTTGCGACTCAAACGGAGAATTGTATTAAGCACGGGAACCAAACGTTGGCGCTCATCCACATTGTTTAGTGTAAGGAACTGGAATTTGACCAATGAATATAAACAAAAATTGAACGGCTTTTACTAAAAGTGCCAGAAAGTAAAACTAGATATCCCCACCTTTAAGAAGACGTTCTTCAAATACTCGGAGTTGTGCATGTGCTGTTCCCGCTCCTCAGAACGCTCTTGCCGACGCAATTCCTCCTTAAGCATGTCGTTCATCTGCGTCAATTTTGCCAGATCCTGTTCATTCTCAGCCAACAGGGAAGTCAAGTGCTTGACGCGACTTTCTTGTATACCCAAACGTTCCTTTGTGGCCTGGAGTTGAGCACTCTGGACGGAAAAGTCCCCGCGTGCGGCCAGTTCCGCTTCTTCATCCTCCTGCTGGGAAACACTGCGTCCGAAATTGGAGATGGTAGTTACAGTGTCACTGGTTATTTGGTTCATAGAAGTGTTGAGCAGCTCGTCAAGCGGCATGAAGTCGTGTGAGCGTCTCGAGGCAGTGGATATCTTTCGCTGAGCAGCCAGTTGGCCCAGGGAGGTATCGCCAACATGGTTATCTAAACCTGGTTCGTGGTCCATGAGCAAGTAATCAATCTTAGCCTGTTCCGGACTGGGCTCTCCACTCACGGCGGAAGCACTGCTATGTTGGGACACGTTAATCTGCTTTTGCTGTGCCTCCTCCAACTGTTGCTGCACCTGCTTTAGTTGCAACTGGTGTCCGGCGTCCAGTTGATCAACTTGCTGGCGATGCTGCTGCATCAGGTCGTGTTGGAATTGCAGTTGGCGTTGGTTCTCCAGCGATAGAAGGTCGTTTTGCTGACGTAATTCGTCCACCAGTGACAAGAGCTCTTTGATGCGCTTTTGCAGATCAGCGTTGTCCTGCCTCAGTGCCTCTATCTGACCGTCCATCTGGGCCAGGCGTGCAGCTTTTTCATCGTTGCTGGCCCGCAGATTGCGTTCACTTTCCCGAAGGCCGACTAACTCCTCTTCCAGCTCTTGTTCCCGGTTAGAGCCCTTACTTTGGTTTTTGCGCAACACTGACTGTGCCTTTAGCTTGTATTCGGTGTACTCCACTCTTAGATCATCCTGGGCCCGTTCTGCATTTCGAAGAGCCGTCTCCAATCGCTTTTGTTCCGTCAAATGCACCTCAAGCTCGTCTGTTCGCGTTGTAAGTTGCTGGGTGGCCGCACTTAACCTGCATTCATACTGCTGTGCACTTTCCGCCAGTTGGAGACGCAATTGCTCCGACTCCAGCCTGGCCTTTTCAACACCCTGCTCCAAATCCTTGTTCTGAGTGAGCGCCTGCTGCTTACTGTAAACGGCGTCCTTGACCTGCACCTGCATGCGATCAATCTGTTCTTTTAGCTGTTGGGAGTGAGCCGCCTCTCCGTTTTTGGCCTCTTCCAGAATGGCGATTTCCTTCCGCAGCTGGACAATAGTATTTTCCTTGCTGGCCAGCGATTCCCTGACAGCATCCAGCTCACTTGACTTGGCCATCAGCTTGGCACTAACTTCGGTAAGGGATTTTTCGGCTGCTTCGATCTCCAGGTTGAGGACACTTGAGTGCTTGGTTTTTTCCTTGGACCTTAGCTTCTGGTTTTCAGCTCGCGCAGCGTTAAGGTCCTGTTGCAGTTGGACCTGGGCCAGTTTTACCGCCTCCAATTCCTGCTTCAAGGCCCCGCTCTGTTCCATTTCCTTCAGTTGCTGCGTCTGCTCCTGCAGCTTCTTTTTCAGCTTGGCAGCCAAGGCCCTCAGTTTGTGGTACTTCTCCTCGTAGCCCTCGTCTAGTTCTCGCAAACGACTTAGTTCCTCGGCTCGTGATATTGTGGATGTGGAGAGGACGTCACTCTGGGCATCAGCATTGGCCTGTTCCAATTCCTCAAGCCGACTCTGGAGTTGGTTTATCTTCTGAGACTTCTCCTGCGCCGCCTGCTGACTTCCGGTTAATTGGGCCTCCAAGTCCCGCTGACGTTTGACTGCAGCTTCGTGCTGCTCTTGGAGGCGGGAGATGGCATCACCGCGTCCTTTCAGCGCCTCGTTTAATTCCCGCATCTCGGTTAGCAACTCACCATGCTCCTGCTCCTTGAGGTGGAAGCGAGTGAGCAAGTCCTCGTTGTGTTGGCGCAATTCTATGCAGATGGCTTCCAGATCCTGCAACTTTTTCTGCTGATTATTACGCTCCTTTTCGATGACTTGAACAAGGCATTGCATCTGATTAAGTTTGGCCTGGAAAAAGCTAACGTTCAGGTTGCTGGAATGGTTCTCGTTCTTCTGCTGCTCTCTTGTTACTACGGCGAATTGTACCTGGTCCACTCTTTGCTGTTCTTTGACAATGCTAGCCAACTGTTCGATGGCACTCAATTTCTTTAGAAGACGCTCCACATCCAAATGACTCCTCTGCTGCTTCACTATTTTTGCCAGGCGGTCCAGTTCTTGAATCCTTTGCAACAATCGCTTGCAATCGATTCCAACGTCATTATTGCTACGCGCATTTACTGCCATTTCAGTGTCCTGCTTCAGTTTTTCGTTTTCAGCCTGTAAGGACGACAGCTTTCCACAAAGGAGCTGTGACGCCTTGATGATCTCCACCTGCCACTTAGACACAGAGGCGGCGTACTCGTGTTGGGTCTCCAAGAGCACGCACTTGCATTCTTTGAGGTTCTTCAACTTGCGGTAGACGTCAATGAAGCGATCCTTAAGGGAGTTGAACTTTTTACGCTGCTCAGAGTTAAGCTCCTTGAGGCTTTGGTACTTCTGCTGCTGCAGGTTCGACTCTTCGGTCACCGCGACCAGTTGCTGGCGAAGACTGGCGTTTTCTGCCTCCGCTTCCTTTATCTTGACAATGTCCACTTCTAACAGTTCCAGGTTCTTGCGCTGCTCGTTGCCCAGGGCATTGACCTGTTGCATGGCCTTCTCCATGCGATCCACATCCGCAAGAAGGACATCGTTCTCGTCACTCAGCCGCCCTAGCTGGCGCTTCAGACTCTCGTTCTCAATCTCGAATTGCGCCAGGCGATCGGCATCCTCCTTCGTCTTTCGCTTCAGGGTGTTAACTTGTTCAGTCAGAATTAGGTTCTTGTCGGTGAAGTCTTGAACCATCTCCTGCATGACTGGCAGGCTGCTCTGCTTTTCCGCCGCCCGCTTAAGGGCCTCCTTGAGAAGACGATTTTCTTCGGTGAGTTCTAAATGTGGGACAGTAAATAAAGGTGTTGAAAGTTCTTCCGCAAATCTTTTTCTATTATACTCACCATCCTTTGCCTGCTTTGCTTTCTTGGCAATGTTGAGCAGGCCTTTGTATTTGCTGATGATTTCATCTTTGCTCAGCGCCTCGATTGGATTCGCGTTCTTCTGCAAATGCAAATAGCAAGATGAGACGTCATCAGCAATTTTAGTGACACCTTTCCACTGACCTGGGATTCCCTCTGTGATGCTGTGTCCATGTTACTTGCTTACTGCGTGACCTTGCATTTAATCGCTGTTCGACCATCTACTTCTTAGTTTTGTATCTTGGCGATTTTCCTGTCAGCAAACTAGATTGTTGGGAAATTGCTTTGGACCCTAAATCAGTTCGAGTGAAGAAAACACTGGTGGTGCCACACTAACAGCTGATAGGGCTGTCATCGTAGCCAAATTAGAGATGCCCAAATTTCCGTAAGAAGGTGTTGACAAGACTTAAAAGTTAAATTTTTTAATAAAAATGAATGTGAATAATATGTAATTACTTAATAAATGTAGCAGTAAACGATATTATTCTACTGAAAAAACATCATTACTTATTAAATAGCTTTTAAAACATCACGCTTCAGCCAAATACCTTGTGTAAAATATATGCAAAAGGTAGGCAAATCAAAATTATAAAGCCACATGTCTGAAAATTTAATCTTCGCAAATGTAATCTTCGTCAAAATGCTTTTAAGTTTTTTATTTTGGAAGCCATTTGTTAGCTTTAATACTGGGCTTACTAACAATTAACAACTATCGCACCAGCCTTAACTATCGATAACTATTGTATCGGTGGTAGCTCACCCTCAGCACTGCAGTAAGCAAACTTTTGGCATCTCTACTGTGTCCCTTATCATTTTCTTCATCCGCGGTAGTGATGGATTTGAGTGATAATAGCCAACTGGAGGATCAGTACTTTGTTTACAAGCATGAGCAGCTATTCGGCGACAGCTTTCCGCTGTTCAAGGAGATCCGTAGACTTGGCAAACTGTGCGATGTCACCCTGAAGGTGGGTGGTCAGAAAAGAGCAATCACCACCAGCTCAGCGATACGGTCATTATCTGGTGTCTAATTATAAACCCATACGAATTATTACAGGTTGAAGATCAGACCTTCTCCGCGCACCGCGTCGTGCTGGCGGCCACCATTCCGTACTTCTACGCTATGTTCACTAACAACATGGCCGAGAGCCGGATCAAGGAGATCACCATGAAGGAGAGCGCCATCGAGCCCAGTGCCCTGGAGAGCCTCATCAACTACGTTTACAGCGGTCAGGTGCGCATCGACAATCAGAATGTGCAGAGCCTGATGGTGGGCGCCTCGTTCCTGCAGCTATCCAACGTCCGGGACGCCTGCGCCAGCTTCCTGATCTCCCGCTTCCATCCGCACAACGTCCTGGGTATCCGCACCTTCGCCGACTCCATGATCTGCCGGCAGCTGATCGACGCCGCCGACAAGTACATCGACCAAAACTTTGCCAAAGTGTCGCAGTCGGAGGAGTTCCTCGCCCTGGACTGTGACCAACTCCTGGAGCTGATGCGCCGAGATGAGCTCAACGTCCGTACCGAGGAGGTAATCTTCGAGGCCTGTATGAAGTGGGTGAAGTACGCGGAGGAAAAGCGCTCCGATCTTTTCCCCCAGGTGCTGGCTGCTGTGCGTCTGCCACTGCTTTCGCCGCAGTTTCTGGCGGATCGCGTGGCACGCGAAGAACTCATCCGATCTTCGCACCAGTGTCGCGATCTCCTGGACGAGGCCAAGGACTTTCACCTTATGCCTGAGCGCAGGGGCCTGCTGCAGAGCTTCCGTACTCGGCAGCGGTCCGGGGAGTTCTTTACGGGCCAAATATACGCTGTGGGAGGATTGGCCAGCACCGGTGAATCTGTGAGCACTGTGGAGATTTACGACCCCCTTACTAAAAAGTGGAAAATGGGCGAACAAATGTCTATGATGAGGTGGGTGTTTTGGAACATTATTTCATTCTTTTCCATACTTATATGTCAAATTTGCCAACAGATCTCGCGTGGGCGTGGCCGTTCTGAATGGCAAGTTGTACGCCTTTGGTGGCTTCAATGGCACCGAACGTCTCTCCACCGTCGAGGTCTACGATCCGCGCAAGAACAAGTGGTCCCAAGGCTGTGCCATGCTCTGCAAGCGCAGCGCAGTGGGCGTGGCCGCCCTGGATGACTGTATCTATGTGTGCGGTGGATATGACGGCGTCACCTCGCTGAATACCGTTGAGGTTTACTACCCCAAGACCAACACCTGGAAGACGGTGAGTCAATGTCTATTTCATTAGAATGGAGGGAAAAATGATCCGTCTTATAATTTCCACTCGCAGGTTGCTCAAATGATGAAGTATCGTTCCGCTGGTGGGGTAACCCAACTAAATGGATATGTGTACGCCCTTGGCGGGCATGACGGACTGTCTATATTCGACTCGGTGGAGAGATACGACCAGAACGAAGATGTCTGGGTGAAGATGTCGCCCATGCTGAACCGGCGATGTCGACTAGGTGTGGCAACGCTAAACGGGAAGATATACGTCTGTGGCGGCTACTGCGGCAACTCATTCCTTCGCTCCGTAGAGTGCTACGAGCCCCAGACGGACACCTGGAAGCTGGTGACACCCATGAATTGCAAACGTTCTCGTGTGGCCCTGGCTGCCAACATGGGAAAACTTTGGGCCATCGGCGGCTATGACGGCGAGTCAAATTTGTCTACCGTGGAGGTGTATGATCCGGAGACCGATAAATGGACCTTTATGCCGCCCATGTGCGCCCACAGTGGTGGAGTCGGAGCTGGAGTTATACGGATCGAGTAACCTGCTCGATGTGCCTGCCAAATCCATTTCTCTAGCCACTCTCGTTTTAGGTAATTTATGTGAATTGAAGCGATATAGACTAGCCTAGATACGATTGTTGAGTGTAACCAAGCTTTAGCGGCCAATGTGCGGTCGCCTCGTGTGAAACTCAGCTCAGCTCCTCCAGCTCTATCAAAATTGTTCATGTTTTACTCACGGTTCTTTTAGTGTTTGTCATTCCAGTATTGTAATTGTTTAGTTTCTACGTTTAGCCTTAAATACTCACTTACATTTTAATCCCTCAAATAAACATGTGTAATGCATGTTCTGTGAAAATAAGTTTATGTTTTCTTTGCAAATCATTGTATTTAAAACGCAGCTGCAAGGTAAGTAAACTAAGATGTGTGTTAATAGTCTATATAAACGCAACTTCATTCCCATATTACCATTGTTCAATAAAAACATTCAACTTTATTTAATTTAATCACAAACGGAACTAAAACGACAAATACCCTCTGAAAGGTACCTTTTATTCCCTTGCAGAGGGTATTATAATTTTGGTCAAAAGTGTTCAACGCAGTGAAGGAGACCTCTCCGACCCTATAAAGTATATATATTCTTGATCAGGATCACCTCCCGAGTTGATATAAGCATGTCCGTCTGTCTGTTTCTACGGAAACTAGTCTCTCAGTTTAAAGATATCGAATTGAAACTTTGCACACACCCTTCTTTCCTTTGCACGCAGTATATATGTCGGAACGGCCGGGATCAGCCGACTATATCCTATAGCTGCCATATAACTGATTGATCGGAAATGCCATAACTTTGATGTTTGTAAAGTTAGGAAGCTGGGATTTTCTATGGGTTTTATATATGGTTAGTCAATCCGACCTACCAAATTTCATAAGGATCGGCCGACTATATACTATAGCTGCCATATAACTGATTGATCGGAAATGCCATAACTTTGGTGTTTTTAAAGTTTGGAAGTTGGGATTTTTTAAGAGTATTAAGAATGCATCATATGAATAATTTTGGAGAATATAATGTACATAACATAACATACATAGGGTATATCAACTTCGGCTCCGCCCGAAGTTAGCTTTCCTTTCTTGTTTGTAAAACATTAGTTCAGTTTTTTTCAAGGTATTATCAAAATCAATACCAAGGTAAGAAAAAAGGAAGCGACTTTTATACTTTGGTAATGAATTAAGTTCTACAAAATGGATCTAGGTACGTACCTAGGTAGAAGTATCTAGGTGCTTCCCAGCACTGCCTAGCAGAGGGTATAATAATGTTAATCAGGAGATTTTAGTGTAGGCGTACAGATATGTTCGAACTTTTGCAAACTTAGTTTTTAATAAATTTAAATTTATATTTGACTATATTCTTAAGAAATATTATTAAATTATGTATTACTAAAATACCAGTTTAAAAATAAATAAATAATAATATACTAAACCATCTTATCTATCACTAGCAGTATTTAAACCTATTTTATTATTTTAACAAGGAAAATAAAAATCCGTTCAACATTTTTCTTCCCATTTTTACATTTCCTTTGCCACTTTTAATATCGAAATTCGCCCATCGTATAAATCAATTGTGTTTCGACCATCCATATGGGCGGCGGATACGTTTTATTTGTTCAACAATAAATGGTTGACAAATAACAAAGCAATCTGAACGACAAAAAATATGGGAAAAGTTGCGAGGGCGGGTTTATAATTTGATAACCAAAGTATGAAATCTTGTATGAAATTGTCTGCCACTTTTTTTATACCCTTGCAGAGGGTATTATAATTTTGGTCAAAAGTGTGCAACGCAGTGAAGGAGACATCTCCGACCATATAAAGTATATATATTCTTGATCAGGATCACCTCCTGAGTTGATATAGCCATGTCCGTCTGTCCGTCTGTCCGTCTGTCTGTCCGTCTGTCTGTTTCTACGCAAACTAGTCTCTCAGTTTTAAAGCTATCGAATTGAAACTTTGCACACACTCTTCTTTCCTTTGCACGCAGTATATAAGTCGGAACGGCCGGGATCGGCCGACTATATCCTATAGCTGCCATATAACTGAACGATCGGAAATGCAATAACTTTGGTGTTTTTAAAGTTAGGAAGTTGGGATTTTCTATGGGTTTTACATTTGGCCAATCAATTTGACGTACCAAATTTTATAAGGATCGGCCGACTATATAGTATAGCTGCCATATAACTGAACGATCGGAAATGCCACAACTTTGGTGTTTGTAAAGTTAGGAAGTTGGGATTTTCTATGTGTTTTGTATTTGGCCAATCAATTTGACGTACCAAATTTTATAAGGATCGGCCGACTATATCCTATAGCTGCCATATAACTGATTGATCGGAAATGCCATAACTTTGGTGTTTGTAAAGTTAGGAAGTTGGGATTTTCTATGGGTTTTATTTTTGGCCAATCAATCCGACCTACCAAACTTCATAAGGATCGACCGACTATATCCTATAGCTGCCATATAACTGATTGATCGGAAATGCCATAACTTTGGTGTTTTTAAAGTTACGAAGTTGGGATTTTTTATGAGTATTAAGAATGCATCATATGAATAATTTTGGAAAATATAATTTACAGAGTATTCTGCAAGGGTATATCAACTTCGGCTCCGCCCGAAGTTAGCTTTCCTTTCTTGTTTTATTTTAATATTTCAATTCTGTGAAATTGTTATCCATAATCAGAAGACAACAGTTGTTTAACAAAAATGTAATTTTATAATTAAATCTCACTTCTAAATTCAGCATAAAATAAAACTGATCCTAGTTTTAAATAAACTTGAAAACGTTCTCTTTATTTAGTAGTTCAGGGTTTAATCAGATATGTATGTTAGCATTAAATCTAAAGTGATGTGACTGGTTCTATTTAAAGTTGAAAAATATTATATACTGTACTAAGAGAAATGACCTTTTTAATCAATTGTTAAAAAAAAAAAAACTAAAGCTGCAACCAAAGACCTTTCTAGCAGCTTACGACTTTTTCAAGCCGCGAAAGCGATCGATCCACCCTCGTTCTGAGCTGACTCAGTTGGGCTTACTGAATATCTCTTCCCTTAATATTTGTTCACCTCCCACGCGCGGAATGCAATTTTAAATTCAATTTGCACCACCTGCTCAAAGTGCAGAGCCAGCAGAGCAATTCCCAGCAACAGGTGGCCATACCGCATCCGAAAATAGAGGCAAACGAAACGAAACCAAAACAAAACCAATTTGCTGTCTATCACTGACCCATAAAATGTCATCCGCTGCAAAGGGCCATAATCCAATCAATCGCACACTTAACGTCCATATTCCGCAGTTATCAGCTGGTTCCAGCGTTGGAGGACCTTATCTGTCCTGTTCCCAATTCGCAGCGGCGGCTATTTACACAAGCGAAAAGGCTTTGCGGCGGTCTTATTTGATTTCAATAATCAAATCACAAATTGCTTGTCTATCGATGGGCAATTTTATTTTAATTAAATGCTAATTATGTTTACCAATGGTTGGAGCAAATATTTGTTGCGTCACCAGGGGCAATTGAAATCGTAGTGGGAGTTGATGGCACTTTCCGTGGAACGATTCGTTTAGTTGAAAATCCCCTAATTGTGCAAGTGTGAGAATTGGCCATATTCTGCCCCGAAATCAGTTGCAATTTAAATGCAAATTTTAACGGGCTCTGTACACTGTAACTTTTACGACTCAATGGCGTAAGGCGGAAGGAAATCTCGAGAGGAAGGAGAAAGGATGCACAGATAAGATGGGGCAAGCAGGAAGCGGCGGTGCTTCCACGTTTAATTTTAGACCGAAAAACTGGCGTTGTAGTGGCTGCGAGTTGCAACAAGCCGAACAACTACTGGCCCCCGGATGTGTGGCATCCACTTGGCCTTTCCGAGTGGCGCGTGAGTGTTGCGGGTGTCTTATCTTGAATGCCGCGACCTCGCCTCAAGTGCATTGTTGATGGTCGGGCCCGCTTAAATCAGGCAAAAACAAATTTTCCGGCTCACATTGTGACGCATTTGTGATGATTTTGCTTGTCCGCTTTAAATGTTCATATATATTTAAAAAAGATTGATCTACTGCTTGAGAAACTTTATGAATGCTCTACGAAACTAGTAGTCGTTTTAAAAATACAAGCATTCTGTCCTTAATTGAATATAGCTTTATTAAATCATATTTTAATGTATTTTTGAATCGCGTTAATTTGACTTACCAGTCAACAGCCTAAATGGAATTTTTAAAAAATTATTGTCTAATCCTTCTTTTTTTTAATATTTTGTAAATCTAATTAGGTATAAAACAAGATTTAAAAAATTAACAAGATTCAAATGCTATTCATCAAATATAATTAAAATTTAAAAAAAACGCAAAGCCACTATAAAAAACTAATTTTTTCTGGACTTAAGCTTGAAGTATAAATAAATTAGGTGTTTTAAAGTTGTTAATTTCAACAATTTTAAAAGACTTGTTTTGTTATATGGATTTGTAGGTAAACAAAATTAATAATGCTGTATGGATTATCTTTCTATTGTCTTATTTATAATTATCTAAAATTAAATCTTCCAAAAAATGCATATTAGTTTTTTCAGTAGATATTCAGGTTAAAATTTGATTGGCCTTTTCAGTTTTTTCTGTCAAGCACAGTTGAAAACAATTACTTTAGTAATTTTTTAAAATACATACATGTTTGTTTGGCTGTTTGTTTTGTTGTTAAGGACAATCGTTTTGTTTGTTTATTGGGCCGCACCTGGAAATAATTTTAATTACAAATTTTTTGGACAAATAGCCAGGACAAAACCAACAAAGTGCATAATTTTTATTTGGCCATTTCGCATGCATAAGGTAAATCATAAATATTAAAATAAGCCAAAAACAAAATGAGTACGGAATAACAGAAACCGAAATTAATTTTTCTTTATGTCAGATGGCCAGTGGGTCGCTCTGCTCCGTTCTCATTTCGCCTTTTTTGCCAGTTCGTATTTCGCCTACTTTTTGCATATGTTTTATTCACATATGCAAACAGAATTTCCGTTCAATTCAATTGCTCGACGAGGAGGCAATTTTTTATTCCACGGTGAAGTGGCGGCCGCATAAAAGAGCACACCGCAACACACACAGCCACACCTCGTATCGCCTCAGATTCTATTCGACCAATTGTTGATATGCACGAGCACACACCCGCGCACCAGCCGAGCCACCTCGCGTTCGGTTCGCCCTCGTGTCCTGCCGGTTGGGCTTCCTGTTTCGGCGGTGTCCTTCTTCAGCTTTTATAAAGGCCCGCTGTCGCTTCGATCTGTCGCTCAGTTGTTGCATACTTCTCGGCGCGTTCGTTACGCGAGCAGTGCAAATAGAACAAATAGACAAATAAGAAAGTGAAACATCCTACCAAAGCAGATTGGCCATACTTGTAAGTGAGCTTTTCTGCCAACAATTTGCATTAAATTGCTGTTACGTTTTTTACTAGTCTCTAGTTTTTACAATTTTTAATGTTTTTATTTAAATTTATATTCTTGACAAAAAACAGAAATGTGCAGTATTTGATCGTATTATTTCAACTTGGACAGTTTAAAAATTGTAAAATAGAATATTTCGGGAAGCAACAAATATTTAAGTTCGAAAAAACAGAGTAATCTATCGATATTATTGGACAAAAACCAAAATAAACGTTATTTGAGACCTCAATTTTTTAAGACTTACTGTGATTTTTATTAATTAAGATACTCTCTTTTGGAAACACAATAGTGTTGAACATCCATTAGTATTTTATAAGTTTCAAATAATACATTTTTTTCGTTTTCTGATTTCGGTTATCTACCTAGTTTTGTCAGAAATTAAATGAAAAAGGTATTTAAAAATAAATTATCTATACAAAGACAATTTTAGTTTTTAATATATATCAAAAATATTTCACGAGCTTCTAACTAGAATGAAGTTTTTTTTAATTTTTTGTCTCATATCGTTAAAAATGTTTTCTTTAACTTTGAACGGGCACATAAAAAGACTTGTTGTTGTGAAAAATATTGCAAAAAAAACAGACTCAATCATAAAAACAAAACATTTGAAGTTTTATTTTTCAGCATGTTCAACTTTCTTATCCGATTTTATATCCTATTTGATCTCTGGGGCCTGTTTAATATCATCACCAAGTTTTTATGACCATTTGACCATCTCACCATTAAACTTCTTGGTGGCTTCCACCCAATTTAAAGAAGATAAAAAGAGAACTTTTCACTTAATCCAGGCAAATTCCTTAATTTAAAGACCCAGTTCATAATAGGCAGGGAGTTACAAATAAAAACTCTCTTCTGATAAATCTATGGAATACAATGACAATGTGTTAATTGGCCTGATTAGCTGATAAGATCCTCAAAGCAATTGGGTGATAAAAACACACGTGCAAACTTCTTGGAAAAGTTCGCAGTCAAGTTTCTTTTGTTTTACATATTTCGGTCCGGCGAGGGCACAAACATTGTTTATGGAGGATGGCCGTCATCAATTGACAGCCGGCGGCGAAAGCTAATAAAAAGCAACATCAATGCAGGGACCCAGATTCCGGATTGGGATGGCGATGGCACACATCCGGTGGCAGCACGCAACGCCATCCCATTAGGGAGCACTCCCAAAAAGACACCACCGAACCGGCGGGTTGGGATGGGATCTGATGGGTGGTGGTCACGGGTGACATGAGGCGGCGCTTTAAAACTGCCCCTGGGTCTTAACTTGTTTTATGTCAACTTGGACAACGAGAACAGGGCAATTACAGCATGTGTAGCCAGCAAATACACAAATACTTGAGTTGCAGCTGCCTCTAAAAGATCCTTTAAAATGTGAGCCACTGCATGTGAGTGTGAGCCGCACTAATTAACCCGGGCAACAACTGTAGCTGCCGGACTCATTACGGCAACAAGAGATGGCCAAGTGGGGAGTGATTCACCGGCCCGGAACACTCCGGGTAATAGTGCCCCAAAGTAGCATCGGCGTGGCCAGGTAAACAATTTAAGTAAATATTTTATTTCTGTTCAAGGACAGTTTGGGATAGCTTTAAAACTATAAATTATTTAATTTCGAATAAATATTATATTTTTATACTCAACAACAGGACAATGTTTTCCAAAAAATTTCAAATAGTAAAAAGTTGTGAAGAAATGAAAATAAATAAGATATTAAAAAGGCAAGATACCTTAAAATGTTTATCAGAGGTGGGGAGAAATCTACGTATGTCAATATTATATTGTAAAAACACCAAAAAAACTAGGTCTTACCTTAGTGACTGTCTTTTTCGAGTTGTCCCTTTTTTTTCCTAGCTAGATTTATTACCGTCAGCAAGCTTAAAAAACAATGTTGTTCGTGTATGTTATAAAAATCTGATTAAAAGCTTAATCTAACAAAAAGATTAGCTTTGAGACACACACTCATTTATAAATCAACAGCAGAAATCCAACATGTGTCGGGCAGCTTCTAAAAAACGTAAAATGGAGAGGGATTTGTAACTGTCATAAAAAACTTTTAGGTACCTTAAAATCAACGAACCAAGACGCGACTCATTTTTCGACCCGTCTTTGACTTAGAGTTCATCATCAGCGCATTTCTGTGGATTTCAATTTCAATCATTGGGGATTAATTTGGCCAGGCACAAAGGTCACACATGCCAGACCTGCCGCCCCCTCCCCTTTTGACATGCCTCCACAGCTTTAATGAGTCTTTTACAAAAGGGATAACGAGGCAGACAGGACGCGTCCGTCTCGGAGTCGCTTTAATGTCTCGCAAAGAACTTAAACCGCATAAATTTACATTTAGATCTACATTAACGAATGATGCATGATGTATGGCGATGGATGCACGTCGCGAAAGCCCTTGGGCCAGGACCTAAACGGTTCTCGCATTCAGAATGGGGGTGTCCCGGAAGTGCAGCTCCAGTGAGGATGGTGTCTGCTGGTACTCCACCACCACCAGGCGATTGGAGCCCACCTTGAGCACCGGGGCCGGCACATACAGGGTGACTTGCGGCCCCACCAGTGGCCAATATCTGCCGATATTCTCGCCGTTCAAGAACACAATGCCCTTGCCCCAGCCGGACATGTCCAAATAGGTGTCTGCCAGGTCCGCCTCCTTCTGGATTTCTAGATATCCGTGGTAGATGGCGGGACCATTGCGAAGCATTGTCCTCAAGTTCTTTAGCACCTGGAAGCCTTGGCGAGCTGCCTCGTTCGACTGGGTGATCAGCTGCTCCAGATTGTCGTACGACTCCAGCGGGAACTGGGTCATGTTCCAGTTAGTCAGCACATGTCTGTCCAGCCGCACATCCCGCAGGATGCCCTTGAAGTCATTGAGTTGGCGGCCATAATTGATACGACCCTGGTTCTCCACGATGATCTGCAGCTTCCGTCCGGCACTTGCACTCAGAGATAGCTCAAAAATGGGTGTTTCCCGGGCCACCAGACCCACATACTCCCCGTCCACGTAGACGTAACCTCTATCCGCCACTCCGGGCACGTTGAGAATGCTCGGATCCCGCTGGAAGCTGGGCAACCAGGTCTCGTAAAGTACCAGTCCCGAATACTGCCCCAGAGCCTCAAAGCTCTTCGGTTTGGCAGACTGCACGAAGCCAGTGGAGAGACGTTTTCGCGAATCCGGGGAGAGCAAGGTGCAGCAGCTGATCAGACGCACAGTTCCGTAGGACCGCTTGGGAACGGGTCCGGGCACCGGCAGATTGGGCAGGGGAAGGTAGCGGGCGATGATGCGGCGCAGGGCCAAATACTTGGGCGTGGGATCCCCCGCCTCCGTCATGGGTGCATCGTAGTCGTAGCTGGTAATGTCCGCCATGTAGTTACCCGGCCCGATCTCATTGGCGCCGGCCGTGAATCCAAAATTAGTGCCGCCGTAGAACATATAAAAGTTGACACTGGCGCCACTGTCCAGCATATTTCTGGAAGACAAAGTGATGTTTCAATTAAGACAGTGTATAGATCGTATTATTTCATGTCATTAAGATAGGTCTGACTCAGTAAGATAGTTTCTAGTCATTAGCGATTTCCTAGTCATTAACGTAGTGGGAGTCAGTTAAAACTTGTTTTGAATTAAGCTTTTTGTATGAAATTTTATCTTTTGACTTTTAAACAGTGCAATCGATTGAAACGTACTAATTTATCGCCAAATCAAAAACTTAAAACAAAATCAAGTTAATTTAATTTAAGCGAGTGTAGACAATTAAACTTGAACTTACATGAAAGTGGAAGTGATTGACCCTGTGCTCACATTGGCCATCGGTTCCGTCCAGTGGGTTAACCATCCGGGGTAGTATTCGGCGTTGACCAGAGGTCCCTTGGACTGATACCTCCGCAATTTGGCCCATACGGGCTTGAGATCGTTGGTGGCTCCAAAGTCCATGGTGGCCAGGACACCATCGATTTTACCACAGCGCAGCACACTGGGTCCGTCGTTGGTAAAGAGCACCGCATGGCCTTGCACATGACTCTCGGTCTCGTCGCGAATCCAATTGCGGTATTTCAGATCGCAGGCAAAATAGGAACCGTATTCGTTCTCCACCTGCACCATGATAATGGGTCCCCCATTCCCGTACAGATATTTTGACACCTTGGCAAACAGTTGGGAATACCAAAGGCGCACCTCGCTGAGATAATCTGAGTAAAATCAAACCATTTAGTTAAGCACAAGCAGAATAATAAACTCGGTATAATTTAAATCTATATTTTGAAATTTTTAACCAAAAAAATCAGTGTCTTGTAAGAATAATTATGAAATTACTTAAGTCAAATTTAAGTAAATTAAGTAAATCATCATTGCTGATGAGTATAGTTTATCAGATACTTACTGACATCCGCTGTGCGAAGTTGAATCCCCGGGTACTTGTTGAGCAGCCAGTAGGGAAAGCCGCCCATATCACGCTCGGCACAAATATACGGTCCCGGACGTAGAATGACCAGCAGATCCTCGCCCACGGCCAGGCGAATAAAGTGCTCCAAGTCGGCAATGCCACTCCAAACGTAAACGCCATCGCGGGGATTGTGCAATGACCATTCCACATAGCTAGTAGTCATTTGGTATGTGACTAGTGAATCAATAGCAAGCTGAAAAAGACTTACGTAGTCACCGCATTGAGTCCCGCAGCTCTCATGGTTCGCAAATGCCGCTGCCAGGTGGCTGGATGCGCCCGGAAGTAGTGGAAGGAACCCGCAATAAATCGAAAGGACTCTCCATCTTTTAGGAACTGATCGTTGTCGTAGTCTACTGTAAATGTGCGATTTGCTGAAACCGCTGTCACCAGAAAGAATAACCCCAACAGGCCCACCAGACAAAACTTCATGCTTATATTTAAAGAGCAGATAAAGAAAATTAAATTAATGCTTATTAGTATTTGAAATATACTATATTATTATATATTTTATTATATTAGAAAGACTTAAATAATTAATACAGAAGGGAAAAATCCACCAATAACTTTTGCAAGACCTCAGATATCGTGGTTCATCATACTGAGTGACAAAATAAAAAGGCTCAAAAATGTATCAGGCTGTTGTGTCTGGCTGTTGGTCCAATTAATTAAACTACTAGTTTACAACACTAATAATGCTACAAAAAATAATTATAGAAAGAACGGCATTACCTTTACCTACAATAATCTATCGTCTAGTGATAACAGTGGAGCAATGTTCCAAAAATTAAAAAAAATCAAAAGTGACATAATCGTATAGCAAATTGCTGGACTACTAAATTGTGTTTTAAAATTTTCAATTGAAAAAATTCCAATAAAATAATATTTAATAATGAACTAAAAAAGTATATTGTGTTAAATTAAATGTGATATTAATTTTAAAGTGTTTTCAATCCAATTTGCATAGTCCAAAGAAAATTAAATAAACTTGATTTCTTAAAGTGTTCTATTTTTCTTATTCCCAGACCAGGGTTTTTCTTCCGGCTAGTATAAAGTCTTAACCCGTTCCGCTTCCTAGAGAATCAATCTAAATCATCTCGGTTCAGCTCAGCTCAGTTGAGTTCATCGCAGTGCAAAGCTTGTCTCGTTCCAGTGGAAATGCTTCAATTGAAGTTCACGGCTCAATTGCTTAGTGACAACAAAACGATATAATCTTTTGTTTGTTTTGCTTATGAATTGTTTGAAATTAATTCCATTTACTCAAACCTCCCGAACTTCTTGGCGGGAGTTCGTTTTGGTCTGTTGTTGCATTCCCTTTGGGTCTCATTAATTAATGCAAGCTCAGCCTAAGCCAATTATTTAATCTGACTTTCTGGCACAGAGTAGAATTTCAGACGTACTTTTGTATTTCCACGCAGCTGTTCGACAAAAATAATGGATTGTTGTTTCAGTATTCGGACACAATATTATGGATTCATTCTTATCGCCTGCAATTTTTTCTTAGCTTTAACGTCTTTATTTTATGCGATTTGACATATGTATGCTACGTGTGTTTGTGTTTTATTTTATTTTCGTTGTCGTTGCGGATTCTTTTGATTACGCTGATCTATGAAATATTTTTCCAGGCAACATAACGTGGTTTGTACATACAAAACAATGGATTTTGTGATTCATTGTCCTCTGATGCTTGACTACCATAATTAAATGATAATCGTTTTCCGCGTGGATAAATCTATTATTTTGTAAAACGATTAATTGATTAATCGTTCTCTCTTTTTATTCGAACAATTTTAAATTGACCTATTTAGGCAAAAAGTTTACGGAATTCCCTAGCTTATAACTTATGTTTTTCCCTATTTGTTATTTTAAAATGTTATTTTATGGAAATACAATTACTTAAAATTTATTGGTACTTTATCAAAGTACTTTTATACGACTTTCGAATTGAGGCAAACACGTTTCAGACATAAAATAATAAATTTAATTAATTTAGTATAAATATATAAATGATTACTCTCAATTGTGATTTACACGTTGGGATTCCCTTCTTCTTATCTTTATATGATTCTCAGAACGATTGTTTGTCTAAGCCCTGATAAGCCAAATTGACCTTTGACCAAATGATCAGTGAAGTACCTGTCCTGTTAATTAACCTTTTGATAAAAAATGACCATAGAGAAAACACCTCGTAAATGAGACCAAAGTCAAAAACTGTACCTAATGTTCAGAAACAAAGGGAGATCAGAACGGGAACGCTAACGAGGGCCCAACTTAAGCCCAGTACATTTTGGGCATCTGACCTAAATAGATTATTTTGCATGCCCACAAACCCAACCCCTGATTTTACATTTCTGGGTCCCTGCTGTGCGTTCCATTTAACTTTTCTGACAATTAGGCGAGAAAGTTAGCGATCGTGCATTGTTCTTTCACGATGAAAAAGCACCCAGGTGGTCGAGTGGAAAAAGCCTGCAAAAGCGAGTTCCAATTATTCAGATGACACTCACCTCGGTGATTGCAACTACACGCAACTGAAGAAATATTTCACTTTTGCGTTGATATAGAGCACAGACCAAATAAAAAGCGATAGTTAGGAGGTGAAAAGCGCGCCAGCGTTCCGCTTCAAATCCGAGTTCAAACTGATCGTGCGTTGACCAGAAACGCCGATTAAGTGCAGAACCGAAGAATCGGCTGGCAACATGAGGCCAGAGCAATTGCACAGCAGCGGCAACATTTGTTGGGCAACATTCCACTAAAGGGAAAATTGTAGAAAAAATCACCAAGATAACAATAAGATTATATTAAATATTTTGTTTTGATTGTAGCTCTGGCTAACTGCAAACATGACTTTTTAAAATGGGGAAAATATATAGTACATAGACTTGATCTCTAGACTTGATCTGCTTACAGCTCTGTAATAAGGGAACATTGAAAATGGAAATAAAAACATTTTTAAGAGGTTAGACATAGTCAGATTTTGACAAATAGTGAGCCCAATGAACTCTTTTAAAATAAATTCTTAATGTTCCAATTAGATTTTTTCTAAGTACATGTAAAAAAAAGATGATGGGTTAATTATAATCGGAATGAATAAATAACATTTCTATATCACATGACTTTGTCTATATCTACAAATCAAAGAGATGTTCTGAGGATACTAACTCATTATTCATTTTTTGAACACTTTTAGATTGCCTTTTAAGATGATCCTTTATTTTTAACCCATTTTTATTGAGGTTGTCCCTATTTGCATCTATCGAAAGCCCTTCCATAGCCCGTGGCCATAAACTTGCCCCAATGGCTTGTCGAAGTCGTTTCCAAAAAATTAATGTAAATTTATTTAAAATACAAATTCGGAATTGGGCTGCAGCTGTTAGACAAACAGAGAGAGTCAATTTAAAAGTACAGTCACGCCTCATTTTTTATGCATTAACTGTGTGTGTGTCCTGGTGTTTGCTTTGTCCCGAGATCTGGCCTCCTCGCATGCAAAATAGGAATGCAGCCGTAGGCAATTGGCCAAAAAGTGAATTTTCCATGTTGTTTTATTATTAATTTCATACGTTTCGGCTGGGCCTCTGATTCAGTCCGCCTGTTGTTGGGTCACATTCCGTGGGCCTTCCAGCCTTCCATCTGGGCTAATGGACCCATATTACACGCCCACCAAAAAAAAAGGAACACACACAGGAAGCCGAGCACACAATGTGTTGGCCAGAATGTAAATCTAGACGTAGGAAGCCTTGGCACGTCTTTAATCTCACACGCCTGTCGGCATTTTAAAGTGTCCTGTGGGAGGCACACGCACACACACACACACACACCCCGAGGCAACTGAAAGTCACACAAACACGTTCGGGGATAGAGAGCGGCCTACATAGACAATTAGACAACAGACATGGCCAAGTTAACAGCTTAGCCGCATTCCACACGTCGAGGCATTAAGGCAGCAGAGGGAGTTGAGCCCGGACTCCGGACTCCGGACTTCGGACTAGGGCTCCATTGTCCGACTGCCGGCTGTCAGCCTGCCTGATGTCCTGATGTCCTGCCAGGACGTGGCTTGACGAGCTGGGGCCAGGTAGTTCGAGAACCGGAAGCTCGCCACATTTGCAGCCTGTTAATTTTTGCAGCAGCAAACTTTAGTGGCATTAGTTGGACTGTACAGTGGGATAAGCAGTCTTATTAATGATTTAAAAATATGTAGAACTTTTAGTTGCATTAGTTGATGAGCAGTCTTTTTAAAAAGAAGTACATCTTTTAGTTCACTTTACAAGTGATTGATTGATTGATTTAAAAGGCAAATTAATTTGTAGTTCTTATTCTTTCTAATTTCGGGGTTAGTGTTAATATTAAAAGACAAGTTATAAAAGCGTTGCTGTTGTATTACGTTTTTTCATTTTTCTTCTTTTTTTTAGATTAGTTTTAAATTTTTTTTTAATCTGGTTTTAAACCATTTTTTTTTAACAATGGACTAAAGCTTTCCACCGTTTGCTTAAAGTTCGACCGACATGTGTTGATTCTTTGACATTTTAGGGACTTTTCTTTTCTCCCTGTTGTTATAATTCGAACTTTAAAAAGCTGACTACTTAAGGGCCTTCAGCACTCAAGCTAAACTCTAACTCAGAGCAAACAGAGTCGCATAATCATAACAGTGATGAGGCTTAAGTGCCGAGCAACCTGTTGATTGTGGCAAACTCAACGTCAATTCAATTCAAATGCATTTCGCTAAGTTCAATTGAATTGCTGAAGCTCCTTTCCTTTCGATGTGTTTGCTTGTTTGCGGTTGACGCCGCCGGTGGCAATCAATTGAATTACATGTTTGTTGTTTCCTGTGCGCATCGTTAGACGATGCCACAGTTTTTACATCTATTGCTCCTGCTGTCGCTGCCGTTCCAACACCATTTCCCCCTGGTTTTAGTGTTAGCCAGCAGGCCAGGGGCATTTGCATGGCAATTTGCCTTTGCAAGGCGTGGCATAATCATGCGTGGCGTCAACTCGTTAGACTTACCGCGGCTGGGGATGCTGCACTTGAAAATGTACTTGAAAAAAATCAGGCTTCTAAACCCAAGACAAAACCATTTTAAAATATTTTATTAAAAAATGATAATATTATTGGCCAAGGCTTTATATTATACAATATTAACAACTTCGTTCATTTTAATTTGTTGTTTAGTTTATAATACGTATTTTTAAAACAACTATCAGCAAAAGCCGATATAAAAATAGAGCAAAACTAAAATTTGTTATCTTAAATATTGTTAACTAAAGGTTTTAGCTTCAAGGTATTTAATTATACTAATATTAGGTTACAAATGCATTTGAACTTATTTTGAAAGCTTTTACCCATTTAATCAACTTAAAGACTTAACACACTTTTATGTGATAAAAAATGTGTTGTTCAACAAAATTTCAGAAGTGAATTAAAAATTCTTGAGTGTACATCCTCCATATCTTCCTTTGTGTTTGCATTTGGGACTATAAATTGCAACATCAGCAGCCGTTACATTTTACGTCGATTGCATCTCGCCGAGCGACCGGAAAGCAAACAAATATACATATATGGGCATTTTTATAGAAATTTTATCCAAACCACTTTAAATTCTTTAAGATCTTCTAAAAAGTCTTGCTTAAAATATTAATTAGCTACAAAATAATTGAAATACAGTTCTTAATTTATTTTTCATTGCATGCTATTATTCCCAGTTAGCCTAGGAAAATTATAAACAAAAAGCAACATATTGTTCGATTAATAAAACTATATGGAGCCTTTTAGATTTCTTGCCCTATGGAAATGCCCTCATGCATGCTGAAACCATCCGCTTTCCCTTCCCCCTTAACCCACTCATTCCTCTGCCTAACATAAAACCCGACTACAAAAAGGTCAAGTAGACGCCGCCGCAGGGAATTTGTGAGTCTAAGTGCACTCGGGCACTTGCCTTATGCAAAAAAATAAATCAAAACAAACAAAACAGGAAATGAAATGGAAAACAGTTTTTGAGAGTTCCTCTGGATATGTGTTTTTTTTTTTTTGGTTTCCCCGCAGTGAAATGTTTGCATTTTAAAATAATATAAGCATTTTTACAATTTTAATTGGAAATGTGTAAAAATAATTTATTATCGAGCCGCGCACTAAAACAAAGACAACGAATTCTGCAGTTGAAATGCCCCAACCGACAATTGGCTTTTACCAAAAAAAATGGTTTGAAATATCTAATTTTAAAATATGATATCAGTAACCGAATGGCCACCGTAAATAAAATGAATGGTGTTATTACTAAATTAATCCCAAGCCATTTAAAAGTGTAGGTGCTTTTGTCTTCCAGCTATTGGAGGAGTAGAGTGACTACAGATATGAAGCGTTAAAAACTTAATTCATGTGCCTGATGATAGGAAAAATAATAATTTTTGTAGGGTAAATTACCATTTACGGTACAATTTTTTAGTATACTGTATAAGTTGTATGACCTGTGTATAAAAAGCAAAATAATTATAAAAGTGTGTTTAATGGCTTGGTCTGCTTAAATTTAGCATGTTCTTATATTAATATCTTAGGGCTTTCAACAAGTAAGTAATAATTTTAACCGAAATTAAAAAATATTTTGTGAAATTTTTTTTAATTTGGCTATTAAATAATTAGGCGAACTTTTCTGTTTACAAGAATTTTATTATATGTCAACTGGTTACCTTAGAAATCAAGTTGTTAATTTTTTTTAATTATGCTAATTTTTTAAAATCATTTTTTTTTAAGTTTATAAGCCTATTTATTTTTTATTATTTGTCAATATTCATATTTTTAAAAGGCTTTTTTTGTGACTTCCCAAAGATGAACATACGTAAATATGGATTTTTGACCCTATACAAAGTTATTTTTTTCCAGCAGCACATTGAATTCCACGCCCGCCTAAAAGCTCGCTACGTCCAATGCGCACTCTGAGCGGTTTCATAGCAGTGGCGCTTGTGCTGCTGCTCCTGCTGACGGCACCCTCGACTGCGGCGGATGTGGATGCGGAGGCGGAGTCCTCCGCCAGTTCGCTGCCGCCTGGCGCCGACCAACCGCGCAGGGTGGTGAAGCGGGCGCCCACGTCCAGCTTCATCGGAATGCGAGGGAAGAAGGACGAGGAACGGGACACTTCTGAGGGAAACTGGCTGGGACCTGGATCTGGGCCAGATCCGTTGGACTACGCCGACGAGGAGGCGGACAGCTACTACTCCGAGAACGGGCGGCGACTGAAGAAGGCGCCGCTGGCCTTCGTGGGCTTGCGGGGCAAGAAGTTCGTCCCGATCAACGCACGCCTGTCCGACATCCTGAAGCACTTGGAGGAGGAGCAACTGCGGGAGAGCCTGCTGCGGGACTTCTTCGAGCGAATAACGACGGGTGAGGGAGCAGCTGTGGGCAAGCGGGCGCCCACAGGATTCACGGGCATGCGGGGCAAGCGACCCGCTCTGCTGGGAGGAGATGAAGACACGGATGCGGAGGCGGACGAGGCCATGGAGCTGTCGCAAAAGAGGGCGCCGGTCAACTCCTTTGTGGGGATGCGGGGCAAGAAGGACGTCTCCCACCAGCACTACAAACGGGAAGCTCTCTCAAAGGTAAGTTATCTTACCACGCACCTGCCGTCAAGGTACAGTGGTCTCTCTTGATGAAGTTGTAAGTTTTTTTTTACTTAAATGAATATAAAATCGAAAATAATCTTTAAAATTTAATAACTAAAAAAATGTATATCAAGTGATATTTTTAAATATGAGCTTTTGAAAAGCGTAAGGTTTCATCTACGTTTTATATACTTCTGTCACAATATTGCATTAAGGCATTAACAAAAATTGAAAACAAATTAATGTTAACAGAAACGATTAAAACCTCAAAAATGTATTACGCAATCAAAACTTAGCTTTAGACTTTATTTAAGTTTTGCCTATTTAATGATTAATATTGCCGACAAAATAGTGCTACATTTTTCAATCCGAAACCTATTCTTTGATTTCAAATTAATTAAGTTTTGCTTATGGTTAGTTAGTCCATATAAGAGACCAATGAAGATCTAATCGCCCCCAGTTCTGGCATAATTTCTTTAAAAAGTCCTACGACTTGAGGGGAAAACAACAGCGCTTTGCAGACTTCAACAGCAAATTTGTGGCGGTGCGCGGCAAGAAGAGCGATCTGGAGGGAAACGGAATTGGAAACGGGGAGGACCAGCAGCAATCACTGGTGCATCCATGGCTCTACCTCTGGGGTGAAAAGCGGGCGCCAAACGGATTCTTAGGAATGCGCGGCAAGCGACCAGGTAATTCCAGACTTCATGCCTACATATCTTTTTGTAAGTGTAGTATTTACGTAATCCTATCAAATTAAAAAAATGTATTTATTAAAATTAAAATAAGGTTTTAAAAAACGAAAAATATATAAATTTAGCTTAGAAGCAAAAAATATTTTTTTTCTCTTTCTACTGTTTTTTCGATCATTATTTTGTGTATCCCATTTAAATTCTCCATCAATTCTGTACTGTTCGACATACAAATGTATCTACATATATTTATTCTTCTATCCACGCAGCACTTTTCGAGTAGGCGACGTTGAATGACTAGAATGATCTCGATGGAAGTTCCTCTTAGAGCTACGAAACTAGACAAAGCAAGGATGGATGGACCCAAAGGACCGGGAGAGCAGTTATGGAAGCAGATTGGATCACACGAGTGTTTCAAATAATCACTGGGCTGGAGATTATTTCAAACACGGACACACCAAAATACACGGATAAGATTTGCTCTGTTAGTTGACACAAACTTTTCAGCTTAATCTATAACAAGACTTGCAAATAATGTATTGTATATTTTATTGGAATCGAATGATGCTTCAAGATTGAGTGGGTTCAATTATACTATTTGCATATCTAAGTGTAAACTTTTAATCAAAATTATAAAAAACATTATACTAGAACAAATTGAATTGCACAATTAAAATGAAAAAAGGAGAAACATTTATTTATTTTCAAAATATATTTAAAGAACAAATTTCATTGTGGAACATCTATACACATATACAAGAGATATATACACATGCATAAATAGCACAAATAAATATTGTAAATAATGAATAAATATTTATTTCAAAAGCTGAAGTCGTTTAATTCATAACTAGGTGTCTTTAAAATCCTTTGATAAAAAATCGAATTACAAATTCACTCCAGATATTTCTGCGGCAACCCAGCCGTGTGATTTTTTCTTGTATTTAAATCAAATTTCTTATTAGCAATATCAGGTAAGTGGATTAAGACAGAACCGAAAGGGGTGACAGAATTCGGCTTACCGAAGTTCGCTTCCATTTTTCTTATATTTTTATAAAGGCGAGTCAGCTTGAAACAACTGACACCTAATATTGATCAAACCCAAAACAATGAGCAATTAAAAACAAGAAAACATTAAAAAGTCTTCTCACAATTCCAAGAAATTGAATTCTATCTACACTTGTAGCTACAAGCTGACATCTTGTTTATACAACACAATAAAAACCGAACGGAACAGTTTCAAAATATGAGAAGACTCTTAATAAGCTGGCCCAAAGGCCACAGAGCAAAACACTGGGTGGCTAATAGAAACAACCGTGATTGATGGGTGTTAGAGGTTAAGGGAATATATGAAATTCAAAGTGCGCACATAACCTGCTTAACAGTCTCAGGTAGAACATAAGCAGATCCCCTTCAATTGCAATTTTACCTGAAATGGTTTCTAAGAATTACTAAGAACAAATTTTGTTTCAAATTCGTAGCACTTTATATAATTGAATAACATGCACATATTAACAATTTCACAGTTTTATAAAAGGGTCTGGCAGTCTTATAAAAAAGGTAGGCAAGATATTTGAGATTGAAAAATAATCCCACTGAGTTCTCTCAGAAATAAGAATAATTTTATTAATCCTATTTATTTAATTCAAATTCTCTTCCGATTACTGTATTCCGATTAATGGGTTAGGGTTATTATTTCAATAAAGCAACATACGTTTTTTCTTGGATTTGTAGGACATGATTTTCAGATCCCTGTGATATGTATGTTTTAAAGTGTATTGATGGGATTATGTCTCGCATTTCATATTCTTTTGACTGTACAGTAGGGTGATCCATAAAATTGATCCGTTGTACAAACTTTCTTGAATATGGTGTTACTAGTTGGCACTTTCACAAATCATGCAGACCTCCTGCCACCCGCATCATACATAGGTATACCCGATCTCAAAGTGTCCCCAAAAGTTCTCTCAGTTCTCCCAAGCCGAGCTCCCAAAGCTCCTCCGATCACCGTGCGCTGGCATCGGCAGAGCAGAGGCTGAGGCAGAGGCAGAGGCAGCGACCGAGGCAGAGCAGCTTATAAATACCAGATGCTCGACGTTCTGGGGCAGTTAGTTTTACACTGCGACTTGTAGCGGCCACATCGTCGGATCAAGCAACCTTTTACCAATTCGTGAGTGTCTGTGCCGAGTGCCTGTTTATTTTTGTGGTCGTGGTTGCTGATTGCTGGAGCCAGGAGCCAGAGACATTTGATAATTGAGTGTGTGCCAATTTTTGGAAAACAAGACAATTGACAATAATTACATGTGAGTGGCAGCACAATCGCAATTAATGCGTGAAGACAGTGGAAAAGTTTCTTCTTCGGCCGACGCTCTCACTCCCCAAATCAGTCACCTACATACGCGAGTGCACCGCTGCGTGGAAAACCTGTATTTTCTGGTCTCCACTAGCAGCCCCAGCTGTTTCCAACGCGCAGTGAAAATTTCTCGGATCCATCCAGCCATTCAGCTACTCCCTTGATTACACCAACTTTCTGCCTGTCTCATTTCTATTCCCCGCTCTTAGCTCCCAACTGAGGCTCAAGATTGTGATAGCAAACATGCTACGGCTGTGGGCCTGCCTGCTCCTCCTGGGATCCATCCAGATCCAGGCGGTTCCATTCTACGGCGAGTGAGTATAACCCAAACTCTTTTCGTGCTGTGTAGTGTTCGTTTCATGCACATTTCACGTAGTTTGAGCTGTTTGCGTTGCGGGTTTGTTGGTTAACATACACACATCGACATCTTCTGATAAAGCATGAACAACATGTTTGATGTTATCGGAACACTTTGAAATGCTGAGAATGCCTGTACACCTAATGGGTTCCTACAAAAAAAAAAATGTAAACCAATTAAAACGGAATCAAAACATCGAATTTAACCAATGCCATATCATTGAATCATTAGAACAAATTTTACCGAAACAATCGTATCTGAATTCATAAATTGCTCATTATTGAAAATCTTAAACAATCCAATTCATTTGAAGAGAGTTGATAGTACTTTAGTAGTTTAATTACGAACCTCTTTGTGTACTTAATTCCGATTTATTTCATGTGATATAACAAAACCAATTAACGACTAACTAGATTCCTAAATTGAATCGTTAAATAATATCATCAAAAAAACATTTGATATTAGAATGATACACCTCAAAATATATAAATTATTTTGTCTGACCTTATACACACCATTGCATTTTTATTTAAATTAATGGTAGTTCACTTAGTGGTAAAGGTTCCACACTAACTGCGAACTATAATCGCTGATGTTTTCTGGTTAAGTCCTGTTGTACCCTTACAAGTAGATTTCCCCTTATAAAAGTAAGCCCGTTCCAATAAATAAATGTTGAATTCCAGTTCAAGTTCCGAAGAAGTTGCTGAATTCGAGGACTCGGCGGAATCTTCTCCCGAATCCTCTGATAAGTCCAGGTGATTTATAAGTAAACCCAGCACCCCAACTGCCTAATCCCATCATTCCCCAGTAGGTTAGCCCAGAAACCCATTCACAACTACTTACCAAAGCAAACACACCACCAGAGAAGTTTACATGTAAAACAACTTAAAAATTCTTTTCAAGTTTCAATATTTAGACGCGCAAGCATGTTTTACGTTCCTCACAATTTTGAAGCCCAATGACACCACATAAAAGTTGGCTAATACCGGGTTCAGTGTTTTTATGACATTTACAATCTCAGACAGCAAGCCCTGTTTGTTCTTGGAGAAATTTTCGCCCGCTAAACGAAACTGCAAATAAAGTTGACCGAAATGTTTATGGTGGTAAAGGCGGGGCGAAAGGGAGCTGACAAAGCTAAAAGTTCCCCCAGAAAGAAAGTCCAAAGCCCGGCAAGTATTGACCTCAATTGATAAACCTTAAACTGAAACTGTTGAGTCGAAGAGATTGTCTGACTGGATTATTCCCCATCGAACTCGGTTTTTCGACGGAATGGGGAACATAAAAAGGCCACGATCTGAGTCTTTGCCGTCTTGCATTTATCTTATTTTTGCGAAAGATACTGCATCGCAAGAGAACAATGTGCAACCTAAGTGGGGCAACAGCAACACCGCGGGACTTGGGCAACCACAACATCCACATCTTCTTCCTCTGATCTTCTGAGCCGCTCCACACTCGGCTGACTTTGCAACCTTTGAGTTCAGGCCGCCGGAGGGCTCATCTTTGGCACAATTCCCGAACGGTTTTGGCCCTGAAAGTAATTGACATTTGTCACGGCATTAAGTGGCATTTTGTGGGCAGATAATACTGCCAAAGACTACCCCAAAACTCTATAATCTGCCCTCGAACTGGGTCACCCACAATTTGTTTTGTTTTTCGGTCTCGCATTTGCCCCTTTACGCTCTCTAAATGCTTTGATTCTGCCTGCCACGGCTGCGCTTTAATTAAATCAGGCAGCCATTTGGTTGGACAGCCATCTCTGCCCCGGCGCAAACATTTCCCTGGAAATCTCTGATTCATCACCGCCCTCGCTTTCAGTCCCTTCTTCTGGTCTGTGGCCAATGACTTTCGCTCTGGCTTCGAGCGGACAGAATTTAGTTTGTTTACAAATTTTATTCGTTTTTTTAGATTGGTTATGCATTCTACCGCTAGCAATAAAAGGGGTGAATTCTTTGCACTCAAATAAATATTCTAAATATTCATGAACCATTCACATTGTTAATTTTAGAAGACAATTAGTTAAGCAAGGCGTTTCACGATGTATTATACGGCATTAAAAAATTAACTTTTTGAAATATATTGTTAACTTATTGGTACTTCAAGGTACTTCAAAACAGATAAAGTGAATATTTTTATAAATTTAAAGAAATATCCTTTTTTTAACTAATTTTAACAGAAATTCATATGCGGTTGTAATGATCTTTTATATAAATAGGGTCCGAAAAATCAGATTTTCTTTAAAAAAAAATGAAGAATTTTACTTTATTTTAAAGAGTAATGGGTTTCATTTAATTTAATGTAATAAAAAAAAATTCTTTAAAACTGGATAATGGATAATGAAAAAGTTTTATTATTGTCCATTATCATGATCATGATCTCTTCTGATCGGACATCAAATCAAGTCAAGCTCAAATCTGAGTGCACTCACTGATTCAAAGCAAATATGGCATATGAAAAATATACGAAAAAAGAGGCACTCATTCATTAGGCAAAACGCCAAGCCTCAATTTCGTACTGTCAGCTTAAAGCGCCTGTAGCTCTGGAATAGCCAAGCCGCTTGGAGCCCTTCCGATCACGTCCAGCCCGGATGAGTCACCTTAAGGCAGAACTCCAACCAGAAGAGAATCGGATACGCAAAAGTACTAAATCTTAAAGTCAGCAACCGAACAAATTGTTTACGTTTTGCCTTTTCGGGCATTATTGTTTTATTATTTATTTCCAGCTAGTTTCGTTTTGTTTTTTCTCATTTAGCACTTATTATGAGCTTTTTTTAATTAGCTCCCGCGAAGTGAATTTTAATGACCCGGAGAAAAAAAAAAAAAAAGTTGGCTAACGCTTCAGTCTTCATAGAAACTTTCTGAGTCATTTTGTCTTGTTCAATATATGTAAACATCCCAGTCTAGATTTGGAATGCATTGGGACACCCAGAAAAAACCACAATCCGTTGACATAAATCTCAGTTGATTGATGACAAGTGCAGGAACATTTCTCAAGTTTTGTTTGCCTTTTTTAAGCGATTGTTTCGGCACTTAAAAAGTTATTTTCATTTGATACAATATAGAGTTCGTCTGGGAGGCGATTAATATGCGGCTCAGGTAAATGCTGCGCAAAAAAGCTAAACAATGAGCACGATCAGAATATG